GTTTTTAAATATAAACTTAAAGAAACAACGTTCATATTAAAATAAATACATAACAACAAATTCGTTACAAATTAGATAAGTTTAGGCAAGCTAATTGCTTGTGGGGGAAGATATATAGCTTTTTAAACACTACACCACAGTATGCCATATGATTAACATACACATTCAGTGGGGATTCACCCATTATTAATCAGAGATTTGCTGTTCCAAACTTCTGAATAATAAACAAAAGAAAGTACTCATGATAAATGTTACACTTTTCAATTCCAAACTTGTACACTGTATTTGTGGCAGGTAAATTATTCCTGTACATTACTATAAAAGGAGTTAATAGACACTAGTTTGTGGAATAACATACATATTTGAAGTTTAATTTCAATTTGCCCCTGTGTTCAAAGATTAGCTTTAAGACTTATAATATTAAAGCAGAGGTTCAAATCCTGCGGTTGGAACAGATCTCATGAACCGTTGTGCAATTTGCACTTAAGCAAGTAAGTAATCACTATTTTTATTTACTTAGGTCACAATTTGCAAGTGGTATTCTTAGTTAAGTTGCTCAATGCTGTAACTCAAATTATGTATTTTCTGATACACCTGTAAATGTTACAGCTGTACTTTATATAGTTAAGTTTGATGTTTTAGAAATGTTTGTTTATAAGTACAGTCTGTCAGAAGCAAGCTTATTTTTATACAAGTTTTCACGATAGTCATAATTTCTTCTCTCATAACATATAAAGAGAAATATTGTTACGTTTAATTTATTATGAGTTGATAAAACACTTTTGTCGGAATGGACCACAATTTTTAAAACCATACAAGTTTTGTTTGATATAATTGGGTGTAAAAGCTTGGTTAAAATGTTTGTAGGAAGACTTACACGGTATTTGTGTGACCACATTTTTGTCCTGTTTTAATAGGAAATCATGTTAATAACGCGTATGGTGTTATGTCAAAATAAATAAATAAATAACGAATATATAACCCAAGTCATTCTTTACTGTACATTTCAAAAATCGCAAGACGATACAGTTCTGAACTTGAAGAATAAACATAAATTTGCTGTGCAAGAAAAACCAACGTTCGAATGAAAAATAAGTTTTGATGATCGCTTCATTAATTTCGAAAGTCAAAAATCGAAAAAATACATCAGGATTTGCTTTTTAATTTGCACCATGCTGTCATTTCATTTGACTATACTACTTTAAAATAGACTCAAATCCTGGTTATCATCTTTATGGTGAAATTTAGTTGATACAAGAAGCAAGTAACAAAAAAGGATCAAAAGAACTAAATCTGTAATCAGATAATTAGTCATAATCCTATACTGAAATAATACGTAATAACTAAACAGTTTGTTTATTGATGTATTATGCAAACAGATACAGCGATTATATTTATATGATTTACCATCCATAAACGATGTTCTAAACGGAAAATAAACATTTACCAGTATGTTATTTTGTGTTGCATTAAGTTTTTCAACTGGTCATGTGTACTCCACTCTGTTGATGTAGATTACACGTTTTTTTGAATACGTCAAAACCAAATAAGCAATCATATTTCAGTAAATAAGTTCTTAATCCAAAATTACTAACAAAGTTAAACATCTTAAACATTGATCTATTGTGTCTCGAATCAGAAATGCCTGCCTTAAAAAGACAGTATTTTGGTGGATTTAGTAATAAAATCAGGGTTATCACATACTGTTCTGTCACCAAGATGCCTAACTCGACAAGGAAGGTAAGCTGTCTTTCCTGGTGTGGTGGTAACATTAGTTGATGTTCCACTATCAAAATAGGGCTCAATATCACCATCCAGAATGGTACGTTTCAACGACCTGGTCTTGTGTAAATGTCGAGTCCTAGTGAGTTGTTGAACCCCAACACCTATGTAAACAAAATAAACAACATGGTTGTGATTAAGTTAGAATACTAGTCATATCTTTCTATATACTTAATTGTATTTGCTAGTACATTTACTTTCTGCATTATAACTTGAAATCAAAAGAACCTAATAGCTGTGTTCATATCGCAATGCCAAGTTTATATATAAATATCTCTCTCGGTGCCAGGGGTATTTTTAGATACATAATAAAAGAAGCCATGTTTTAATATTACATTACAAGAGAAACTTGAAACTGGTAAACCTTGTGAACTTTGAAGGGGAATATTCTTCTTCAATTTCAAATTCACTTATGGTTAATATCACACCTTCCTAGGTTAATTATTATGACCCATAAATGTGCTCATGAGAGCAAAATTTACTTTAAGTATATTGCTCTCATGATCACATTTATGAGTCAAAGTATTTAACCTAGGATGGTGTGATAGTTACCATGAGTGAATTTTAAATTAAATAAGTTGATTATTAACTCATTTATAGAAATAGTCTGTATCAATAACAAGAGAAATAATCTCCCTCTCTTCAATGTAAATACTAAACTTAAAAGGATTAAAGTACTAAAACGTGAAAGAATAATGCTTCTATGAAATTTACTAGCTGTTGCGAAAAGATTGAAAATACCTTCGGTGAATATAAAATTCTTTCATGGGTTGGGAGTTTCAAATTAAACAAATCAATTTAAGTTGATCAACTAACAGTGAAAACAGCTTGGATAGGAGCTCAATTTATCAGCAAAATAGCGGGAATAAATTAAGGTTAGAGAAAGTATTTTCGCAGTAAGCACATAATTTCAATTAAAGCAATTAAACTGTAAATTGTAATAATTATTTCTTAGCGAAGAAATATTGCGAAACTAATCTTTTGTTTTTCAGTAATCCTTTAAATCAACGTACCAAATTATTTAAGTTAAGTCGTTAAGGGCAAATCTGAGATATCCTTGCAATTGACCACTATAAGTTTCTTTTTTCTTTTTTCACGAAATATTTAAATAATAATAATTTTAATTATGCCACACTAAACTGATTGTATCCTTTTCCAGTTTAATTATGCTTATGTTTTTCAAAAAGACTTTTATTTGTAAATTAATAATGGTAATAAATAGAAAATAACAATAAGAGGTTTAGCATATATACTTTTCACAGGTCTGGCTTGGGAGACAGGGAGTTCGACTCGCATTCTGCAGGTGGCGAGTTCGAATCCCGTCACCGAACATGCTCATCCTTCCAACCTGTGGGCGTATAATGTGACGATCCATCCTGGCCCGGCATGGCCAAGTGGTTAGGGCGCTCGACTCGCAATTTGTGGGTCGCGAGTTCGAATCCCCGTCACAAAAAACATGCTCGCCCTTTCAGCCATGCGGGCGTTATAAAGTGACGGTCAATCCCACTATTTCGTTGGTAAAAGAGTAGCCCAAGAGTTGGCGGTGGGTGGCGATGACTAGCTGCCTTCCCTCTAGTCTTACACTGCTAAATTAGGGACGGCTAGCGCAGATAGCCCTCGTGTAGCTTTGCGCGAAATTCATAAGAAATCCGATCCATCCTACCTTTCATTGGTAAAAGAGTAGCCCAAGAGCTAGCGGTGGGCAATGTTGACAAACGGGCTTTTCTATCTATTCTAACGCAGATAGCCGTCGAATAGCTTTACGCGAAATACAACAAACAAACAAATCACCAATCTAGTTAGTTCCACTCATACGACTAGCGCCACCATCACATGGTGTAGATGAAAAGTAGATACTCTAAACTTAGTAAGAGACGTAGATATTAATAGTGAAAAGCGATAAATCTGAATTAATTAAACAACAACAATACGTGCTTCAGCTTCCTCGTATTCCAAAATTGTATTTAATATATATAAGACAACTAAATATTGGTGTATTGATAATAAACATTATTATTATTCATGTGCAAATTCCTTATTTCTCTAGTTTATGTCAATTTATGTGACAGTGTCTTCATGTGGAAACCATCAATTATCTTGTTCATTTGCTTATTTGGCCATTCAAGTGTGAATGAACACTTGATTATTTAATTTATATTGCTGTGTTCAATCATCCATGTGTAACTTCTTTACTGCTTAGCTCTTTTAATTTTCTATAGTATTTTATTTCTCACAATGTAATAAGATTAAGCTGTAACTATGTTATAATAATTTAATCGTTTTCCTTCAAAACGTCAATTCATATAAGTTCGACCATTACGTTTGCTAAGAAGTAAGAAGACCTGAATGGCCAAGCATATCACATAAGGTGAATTTATTTGTTTGAGGTGATTATATAAGTACTACAAATATACTACACTTGTAAAGTAAATAAAAAATTACATGTTAAGATGGAATTAAACACAGTGTTTAAGTTAAGCAAAATGTAAACTTTATTTTGGGTGTAAATTGCACAAGATATTATTTAATTATTAAGTAAAATTTTTGATCATGAAAGGAAATTTTAAATATTTGTTTTCTATAGTCATATAACACAATATATTAGGTTATTTCATAGATGTTGACTTCTGCTAGCGGAACGGTAAGCTTAAGATCTTATAATGTTAAAAATCGGGTGCCGATACATGTGGTTGGCAGAGAACTGATAGCCCATTGCATAGCTTTGGGCTTAAAAACAACGAAACGATTTTTTTTTTCTTTCATTAGTAATAAAAATAGCAACAACATAACTGTGCTAAACATAAAGGCAGGAAGTAGTCTAATTGTTAGCGTGTCAGACTGTTGTGTATAGATTTGTTTTGCTTGTTTTGAAATTAAGCACAAAGCTACACAATGGGCTATCTGTACACTGCGTACTACGGGTATCGAAACCCGATTTCTAGCGTTGTAAGTCCGCAGACATACCGCTGTGCCACAGGGGCATATAAGAGTCTATAGTTCGCATCCAGTTGCCTCAGCATTGAGCTCTGTAATTTGTGGTCGTGAGTGCGTTATTAGAGCGGCGACAACCCCCACTATTCGATTACAGTAGCCAAGTAATTGACGGTGGATGCTTTTGGCTAGTCGCCTTTCCTCTATCAGTTCATAATTATGTAGGGCTCTGAGTAACTTTTGGCGAATGTTCAAGACAAACAAATCTAATGTTAAAAAGTGTTAAAGCGGTAAAAATCAGAGCACACACATATTTGTGTTTTACTTTTGTATAAAACACTAAACTACCAAAAATAATAAATTGTTATCGCTAACAAACTTATCGAGTTAAGTTGGAATTGGTTTCTAGTTAAACATATTTCGGCTTGAAATATTATTTATATATTATTTACTAGCTGAGTATCTCTCACATGACTGTAAAAAGTAAGTGATTTTTATTATAAAAATCAAATCTAAATCAATGTTTTATGAACAAACTTAAAAACAATATTCATATTATAGTAACAATATATTAATTTGTAATCTCATGATAGTTGTTCTTTCTTAGAATTTCGACTTATGTATATTTTAATGTTCAAATCTGCGTCTTTATAAATAAAGCCTTAGATATTGAAACAAGAAAAAACAAAGGTTCTCGAAGAAATATTTCTATATATTCAAATTCCTGACTGTGCTTTATTAATTGTTATGCCAAAGACAAATAATTTTATAGTGAAGTACAAATGGGCGAAGATGTAACTTTTCATAAAAAATGCTTATAAATTGTTTGACTAATTTTTATTTTAAATCTTTTACCGAAGGTAAGAAACATCAATGATAATAATGTATTGTACCGCCATCTGTTGGTTTGAAAATATATTTAAGTTGTTTTTGACACATACAGTCACTGATGATTATTATGTATTATGATATTAATCATATTATCCCTGATTTAATCTATAATTATATTCGTATTTTTCCTGATATTCAAAAAGCATGTTGTAGATATGATAATAAAACATGTTGATATAAAATCCTAACTTTACTTTAATATGAACTCTAGTTTACCATATAATAGTCGAGTGTTATAACCACTGTGAAACCCAGTCTTCGTAATCGAATGTTAATAGTAATTGAAACACCTAATGTAAACTAATATGTTATTTTGGTTTTTCTTAATATTGTAATATATATTACTTGAAACATGATGAGTTAATAATTAAAAATGTTGTAAAAAGCCACTTGATTGGGATTTAAACTCGATACATCTGAGACAATCTGAACGTAACCAACAGATAGTCGAGCGTTATTGACTAAGGGAGCGTTACGAACAAAGACTGGCCTTTATATATACACACATACGAAATATAAGTCGTTGCAACTACTGAACCACAGTTATGCATTAGAACTTATGAAAGCTTTTCTAGCAATGAGACACAACTCATTCCCATTATTTATGCTTTTCGTTAAACTAGGTACTATAACGTTCACAACATACATGGCATAAAAGCTTTATACACACACACACACAGATATATATATATATATATATAAATATATATTAAATTTGAAAATCACTGTACATTAAAATATCATTACGACGTTTACCTGTCAGCTTAATAGAGATCTTACACAACATATTGGGTTTAAAGATTAGTACACTTTCACTCACGTTAGAAAACTGAAATATTATACCTGAAGTTCACTATGATTCACTTATGTTTGAAATTTGAAATATTAAGCTTAAAAATCTTGCTGGATAAAATCGTCTGATGTGTGTATTGCGTTATGAAGGCATTTGGCGGAAAAAATAATTATGTGAAAAGCCAGGTTCTTTTCTCACATGTTACAATGATAAAGAAAAATATATATATATATATTATAAGGAGATATAAAATTATACATCCTTTTATTTTTAATTTAAGCTTATATTTAATGTTCTTATATTAAAATGATTTACTAGTGAGAATAATGTTATTGAGAAACAACATAAGTATATATATATATCAAAATGAAGAGTTTCACACTTTATCAAATTAGGAAGCATTCTTGCTTAATGACATATTACAGGCATTGCTTTGATACCTTAACATTTTGAAATAAAGAAAAACAAAATTATTTATTAGAAAGATTT